AAAGAAGACCACACTATATAAACTGGAGAGAGGCCAGTGGTTAAAAGAACTTCCTGCTCTTGCAGAGGACCCAGGTTCAGTTCTGTTACCTGCATGGTGTCCCCCAACTGCTTACATCTCCAGTTCTAGGTGATATGGTGTTGTCTTAGGTACTCTGAGGACTCCTGCACACATGTGGCATGTATAAACTCAGGAAGGCAAGTACATAAAATAAGTAATTAAATCTTCAAGCAATAGAAATATATAAAACATTTAAGAATCATTATAATTGAAGTTGTCTTTATTGATCATCCCAGGAGCTCTATCCGATTCTATAGTGCATAGACTTCAAGGTTCTTCCCTTTATAATCCTAGCTGCAGATTAGGACATATTCAATACCTTTACTGGGCATCAAATACAAGAAGGAAGAGTAGAACCTATTACATAGTGCAGTGGACTACAACTGAAAGAGCTTGGGATTTATGATAGCATCTTGAACATGTTAAACATGTTAGTACAAAATGGTGAAGTCTCCTTGGTAGGAAGAGAATGAGAATTTAAAATGAGACCAGTATCTTAACCTTGAGGCAGTTTTGACATATTATAAGGATCAGACTGGTAGCCAGATCCTGGCAAGTTTCCACAGGCAGTCTAGGGTGTTTTATTACCTCATCTAATCTAAAGAACAATGTATTACTTCATCTCTAGTGTTTTATGTTATTGGAGATCCACTTTTATTGGGCAGGGCTTTAATTAATGGCATAAAGGAAGGCGTGGACATGGCTATATTCTCAAATTCTGCAAGGTGAATGCTGAAAATAGGAGCCAAAATAGACTTAACACATCATATGGTTTTCTCCTCTGGGTTTTCTGCCATGGATGGAAAAATGAGGCTGAGCTTTGCCAGAGTATATTCTAATTGAACACTGCAGCAATGATTCTAAGGCATTGCTCATGTGCATTGATAAACTGAGATTATCAGAATGGAAATCTTCCCTAAATTCTTTTACCTTGATAATTATTGATTCATTTAAAAAATTCAATCAAATGAAAATGAAGAGGCAAGAGACAAAATACGTTTAGGTGCAACACATTCTTGCAAGGTATAGACACACCTATAGAGGCATATGGTCTGAATCTTATACTTTCAGTAGCCATGTTCTTGAAGTTAAAGGTCTACCCAATGAAAAGCTGTATGAATGGTCATGTAAGATAAAGGTCTCCTTCCTTTTTATTAACACTTGTGGGTGTGGTGGCATGTGTTGAAAATCCAAGCAGTCTGGGAGGCTGAGACAGGAATTATAAAGTCCAGCTTGGGCAACACAAAGAGATTCCATTTCAAAATAAAATAAAATAAAATAAAATTAAAACATAATATCAATAAAACACACTTAATTGTGTGAGTTCATTAATAGACTGGTATACTCTGAAGTCAAAATGATGGATCTTAGGAGTTCCTAGGAATTTCAGGGCTATCTCCTTGCTTTCCAATTTTGCTTGCAACCTGCTGCTTCTGCTATATTCTCTATGGAAGACTGATGTAATATAATTTTTTCAAATAGAAGAGCAGGTATTTCATTGTCTCATGCCAAGCAGAGATTGATATCAGATGACTTTAATCTCAAAATCTAGCTCTTATACCCTGTTTCTTGTCTAAACTAGAAAATGTATGATTCTGAATGAGAAGGAAGTTAAGTGGAAATGAGACCTGTGTCTCCCCCATAGACTTTCTCTTGCTTTAATTCTTCCATCTCAATGAAACTCACACATGGTGTGACCATCTCATTGATCTTTCAGTCATAGTTAAGACAGTCAAGTCTAGAGTTTAAATCTTTTGTACCACTATGTCAGTCAGGAGTCAAAGCCTGACACATAGACTGCTAAAGACAAATGTATTTCGAGCAGAAAGGGATTATATTGCTAATGGGTTCTCTAAAGCTGAATTAGAATGGCTTATAACTGGTAGGAGCTGCATAGTTCCAATGTCTGTCTGTATAATGCAGAGACCGAGAAGCCAGTAGCTACTTAGTTCATGAAGATGAATGTCTCAGAAGTTCTAATCATGCTTTCTTGGAAGATTTCTGGAGAAGCTGTATGCTGGCCACAGCAGTAGAAGACAATAGTAGCAGCAAATGCAACCCTTCCTGGAAATACCCTAATAACCAACCTAGAAGCAAGTCTTTTAGACTGATTCCAGATCTGATCAAGGTAATAATTAAGATTAATCATCACAGGACTGACTGGCCAGTTGACTCAACTGATTAAGGCATTTGCTGACAACTTGAGATCCGCTCCTGGAATTTACATGGCAGAAGGACTTCTATAACATGTCCCATGACCTCCACAAGAGCACCATGTATCCATAGCACTCCCACGCCCCACAAAAATAAATACATGCAATTAAAAGAAGACTGATCATCACAAACACTGCGTATTGACTTTATATTCATAATCCAAATTTGGTTGAGTAGATGGATGCAGAATAAATGGATTCAGGGAATGGGCTTGGTTGATAGTTTGGGTCAGCTGGGCTGTACATTGTAGGATGTTCAATAATAGACCTGTTCTTTAATTACTAAATACCAATAGTGCAGTTCCAGTTGTTACAGTAAAACAAATGTTCTCAGGCATTGTCAAATACGGTGTAGGTTACAAGATGTCCCAAAGTTGAGAATTACTATGCTAGAGTAACACACTTCCCCTTTGGCTAATGGCATCTCATGTTGTCCAGATCCTGTGCTGACTGTGCTCTGGGAAGGTCACTGGGAAAATTACAACAATGACACCCACCACCAGCTATCTTTTAAACTTCCAAACCAAACCAACAAGAAAAATCTCTTTTTTCCCTCTGTTGTTATGAGATATATCATATCTCTCTATAATTTATATGTTGAAATGATAGAATTCATTGTCTCAAAATTGAGTCTTTAAAAAAGGTAACTGGGGGACTAGTTCAGTTGGTAGACTATTTGCCTAGGATGAATAATGTCCCAGGTTCGATCCCCAGAACCACATAAACATAGTGTGGTGGTCCTAATCTGAGCATTCAAGGGGTAGAGACTGGAGGATGGAAAGTCATTCTCAGCTATATAATGATTTGCAGGCCAGCCTTGGACTACATGAGATCCTATCTCAAAAAATAAAACAAAAAAAAAAAAACTTAATCAAAAGCCATAAACCAAACAAAAAAATTTAAAAATATATAGAATGAAAAATTAATTGGAAATAGGGTACTTTTTATTTTTAATCATTTCATTTATTTTTTTAAAAATGTGTGAGCATGTGTATACCATGTAGGGGTCAGAGGAAAACTTGCAGATAACATTTGAGTTCTTTTCTTTCACCATGTGGGGTTCACGATGACAGACTTGGTGGCAAGTGCCTTTACCTACATAGCCATATTACTGGTGGGAAATAGCATTTTTAATAAGGTAACTAAGGTAAAACAAGGTCATTAGGGTAGTCTCTAATCTAATCTAACATAAGCACATATAGAGGAAGAACATCAGGAGAAGATGCAAGGTAACAATTACAAGCAAAGGAGATGGCCTCAGAAGAAATCTTGATATTGACCTTCCAGATTCCAGAATGGTAATACAGTTTGCTTGTTCAAGTTACACAGTCTGTTTTTCATCTCAAATATTTTCCAAATATTTTCCTTACTATTTTGTGCATTTACAGGCCCTAAAAACACTGGTTTTATCTATTTACTTTGAAGTGTTTGGGATCAAACAGAGAAGCTCACCCATTAGGCAAGTGACCTACCACTAAGCCACATTTCAGCTCATCCAATACATATTTGATTTCTATGAATTTTTTCTATTGTTATATTTCTTAATGGACAGATGAATTTCCAGTATTCGTTAGTATGAATGAGGTGTCAGAGCTAAGAACAAATGGGACACAACTTCCCTAGGTATCAATTTTCATCTGCAAATTTAAAAGTGTTGGCATTATTTATCCTTGCATTACAACATATTTACATAAAAACATCTGGATCTATTTTCCATATAGATTGCACCAGAGAAAAGGCAAAATAGTAAGCCAGACAAGCCTATGTATAAAGTGTGGAAAGTTTCTAAGGAGTCTGGGCACCTTGGTCTAGGGACCCCAGGTTTGTAACATATCCTTCACATTCTGCATGTTCTACTGAGCACTGTCCTGGTAGCTCCATGTGCAGCTGAAAAGACAATTTGAGCATATTTATTGTAGAGACAAGCAGGGCAGTGAGAGTCGAGTGTGTTTCTTCCCCTCCCTCTCCTATGTCTCAGTCCTTCACCAGACCTTTCTCAGTCAATGTGCATCTATGTGCCAAAGGGAAGTGAATCCAACAGACACAGCGGGAACCCCATCTCATGAAGTTTGTCACTTACAGGTTTACTGACCTGTGCATTTTTTTCAATTGTTTCCTTATGCAGGTCGGGTGGGGCCAGAAGCTTTACTGCTAAGAACTCCCAGCCCTCTATCTAAGTAAATACTGTTTCTTGAATGGAGTTACTGGGAACCTCCAAACTAGTTCCAAACTTTAGGAAACTGCCAGAAGATTCAGAAAGTCAGGTTAGGGTTAAGGTATCCCTTATCTGTATCTGTATCCCATATCTGTAACCCCACTTAAGAGCCTTGAACCGCTAGTGCCTCAAGAAATGTAAAACTGATTTCTCACAAAGACACTGCAGCAGGGTTCCAGAAATTATTTAATAAAGTCGATGACCCCAGGCTTCTGGTGCCTGGATTTGTAATTCAGGGCTTTTCCCTACCGAGAAGGTCAGCTTGTCCATTCCTCCTGCAATCAATCACGTGGCGATATCGGGATTCCTGGAGACCTAGGCCCAGGCAGGCAGCACCCTCTAACAGGTCCGTCACAGTCAGGCATCCTTCCTCTTCCAGGAGCCCGGCGTCCTCAGGCCCCGCCTCCTAGGGAGGCGTGGCTCAGCGTGGAGACCCCGGCGGGGGCGGGGCTGCAGGGGGCGCCGCTGACGCGTCGCTGCCGGGACGAGTGACGCCGCACCAGCCAGGCCGCAGCCCCGCTCCCGCCGCCTGCCCGCCCCGGCTGGGCCGGCCCGCCCCTCGCTCCACGCCCGGCCTCCCGCGCGCCCTGTCAGACTGTGGCGGCCGCTGCAGTTTGGTGAGGCGACAGGCGCGCGCACCCACGTCTCTGCCGGCCGGCCGCCCGTTCCACTACTCCTTCCTCTCCGCTGCACGCTCACCCGCCCACGGCGACATGGCTCAGGCTCCGGCTGGCTGCCGGATCTCCAGGGGCTCCGGGGACGGCGAGATGGGCAAGCTCAGGAAGGTGGCGCTCATCACGGGCATCACCGGCCAGGTAAGTGCGGGGCGGGGACGAGCGGCCTGTGGCCCCAGGGCACGTGGGCCACCTCCCCGGGCAGGGCCACCGAGGCACGGGGAACTGCGCTTGGCGCGTCCCGGAAGGTGTGCGCGGCCCCAGGAGGGGAGGGCTCCAGCCGGAGCTGCCTAGCTCTCTGCTGGCTCTGGGGGTGTGAGCTTGTGCTGCGCATGGGACCACCCTGTCTCACCTGTCCTCTGGGTGACAGCGGGATTTCTCCCACGGAGCCAAAGGGAGGGCTTGGAAGGAATCTCGTACTTTGCAGATCCAGGTGCCAGGAAGGAAAAGGGCCAGTGATGTCAATATCAGTGATCTGTCAATATGTGTGTGAAGTCACTTCCCCCAACCTCACTCACCTGCCCTGCTTGGGACACCAGCCCAGCAGTGCCCCGGTTTGGTTACCCCTTATCAGACAGAGTTGAGGGTGGAAAAGAGATAATGGGAGTTATAGATTATTTTTATTCTTAATGTTTATACATCATAATGTTTATACACAAATTTTGTGAGAGTCTTGTTTTCATACATTTCGGGACATAGCTTGACTAAGTGGTCCAAAAGTTTATAATTCTGGAGAGCAGTGTTTCTAATACCCAAGACATGGACATCTTCGGTGAGGTAATTAGGCTGTGCTGGGACCCAATGTGCAAAGCTGCACTTGGCAAATTTGTGGTAGTCATCTCCTAGAGGTGTTGCAACAGGTAGGGCCAACCGCTGCCTTATCTGACAGTACAGTGTGAGATTCAGCCATGTCAAATTAATGTCTTCCGATGGCCGCCAAAGTGATACTAAACAAGGATGGTAATAGCTAAATATGCACCACGCTTTCGTTCTTACTGTAGAGTAGTCACTTGGTTAATACTAACACCATAGTAGTTTCCACGTAACAATCCTTATTTCCATTTTTAAATGCAGAATTTCGAGGCCTAGGAGTTTGACTTTTCTGAGTCCCCACAGTTAGGAAGTATCTGGTTGGGACTGCACCTAGTCTCAAAAGTCTCCAGTTTATAATATAAACAAGCAGATACATAGTCCTCTCACATTAGAATATTTCAATACTGGATACTGATTTTCTTTTCAGTTATTACTGCATCTTGTTTAAAGTACTTACAATGAATAAATGTTTAAAAACTAGTAAAATAGAAGGGAGGGAAAAGGACCAAAGGTTGAGGAAGAAAACATCAAACCTAGGACCCCCCAGGAGGTACTCTACTATTGAACTCTCCTCAGAGATGTCCTCCCTCTCTCTCTCTCTCTCTCTCTCTCTCTCTCTCTCTCTCTCTCTCTCTCTCTCTCTCCTAATGCTAGAAGTCTCTTGCAGGTGATTCTTTTCTCCCAAGTTCTCAGATTGATTCTTAAGCTAAGATATTTGCTACATTCAGTAGACTTTTATTTAGTATTGTCAAGAAATTTAGTTGGGATGCTGTGGGCCTCATTAGTGTAGCTTGTATGAATTTAAGTGGCCAACATTTTGAATCAATGCAGTTTAGAAATTGAATCTTATTAAATAGTTGAAAACTGTGTTGGATTCTTCATGGAGAGGAAGGCTTGGAAGTGACCCCACACGCCAACCCCAAGTAAGAGTTCTTGGACCACATATTACTTGTGGTCCAAAACCTTTTGGCTTCTCACTTCGTTTCAAACTCCAAACACCTGCTTTGGTCTCATGTTTGAAAATCACATCCTGCTGCCCATCACTTCCTTGCCACATGTCTCGTATTTTTTCCTTGCTTGCTTGGTGCTGCCTAGGCTTACTGGTATACCTACAACACTGTACCAAATTCTGTAGCTGCCATAGCTGTTTGCCAGTAAGTTGAATGCTCTTCTGTTTGGCTTATTTCTAGGATAGTGATTCTCACCTTGAGTTCTGAGGACCCTTGAGGGACTGTGACATTAATCCAAGGATCAATACCGTATTGCACATTTTCTTAATAATATGGGCTGGAGACTTACTGAACTACTCACTTTTGTAGATACTCCACTTATCCTCACCCAAGACACAGTAGTAAATTGTATTTGGCTGATTGGCTGGCACTGAGTGGCCTGGAAGGCTTGAAGTAGTGTTTTCGTGGACCCTCCCCTGGAGTTTCTCCTGGAGGCTAACCAAGTAAGATTGTGTCCTTTAGGTCATATACCTAATGAACATGAGAGCTCAGATCTGCAAGAGACACTCCATTGCTCTAAGCCACCTTCTTATGTTATCTTTAGTAAGTCACATACATTTACATTGAGAGAGAGGAGAGAGAGAGAGTGTGTGTGTGTGTGTGGTAGTTGAGTCAAGTGGCCCTGCCCTGGCACTTAGGGTTTCATGTGAAGGTCTTAAATGGGTCTCAGATATCTACTTGTTACTAGTGCAGACAGGCAAGGTATCTTGTTGGCTCTGTATTTGTAGTCTTACTTTCCAGCTTCTTATTTGGACTCTCCCCTCCTGTCTATTCTTGACTCAGTAATAGTTGTGTTTCCTTTTCCAAAGTGTGCCCCTTATTGTATCACCTTCAAAGAAAACCAGGCTCTGGCTTTGCACTGCTGTTTGGGCTCTCTGCCAGCCATTCCCAGAGCTTGCCCTCATTGTCTAATGATGTTTGCTGTCCTTTTATTGTGCTCATGGAAATGATCTTGGTGTCCTTTGAGTATTAATTATTGCCGTGTACCTCATTGGAGCCATTATTTGAAGTTGAATGGGTAAGTCCTATTCTTTTTTTATTTTTACTAGATGCTTCAGTGTTCTGACACTAATCCTGCCAAGCAGCCACATAAGGAATTTTGTTAGTACATACTTATTTCTGTTGGTTCTATAGGTGATTTACATATATGTTATTATAAACAGCTTTAAAACAGAAATCTCATTTTCACCCTGTTATCTCCCACATGGGTTTCAGTGGGCTTTGAAAAATGTTGTCTTCCTTTCCCCATTAACAAAACACATCTTAAATGTGTATTTGTAGTGTGCAGGTTAGTTTTGAGGTTGCTGGTGGTACAAAGATCTGTAACATATATTCTGTACCACAAAGATCTTTGAGGAGCTGAAGACAGTGCACATGAAAAGATAGCACCCATAAAACAGTATTGTTGTCCTACCCGGGCCAGCAGCTGTTTAGTCTCAAGTAAATATAAGCTCAAGTAATTATAAGCTGTTTGGCCAATGGCTTAGGCATCTTACTGGCTAGCTCTTTCTTAATTACTAACCCACTTCTATTGAACTATGTATTGCCAGGAGACTGTGGCTTACCAGTAATGCTCCAGAATGTTACTCCTTTGGTGTCTCTCTGGCCACTCTGAGTTTTCTCTTCCCAGCATTCCTAGTCTGGTAGCCCCACCTATACTTTCTGCCTGGCTATTGGCCAATCAGCATTTATTCACCAACCAATAAGAGAACCCTATTCACAGGGTACAGAAGGACATCCCCCATCACAATATTACACAAGATTGTAAAGGAATTTAGAGTATGAGTGAGTACCTACTTGTGACACAAACTAGAGTTGTGTCAGCTGAGACAGTGGCTCCATCAGATTGCTTTTGGCAAGTCTGTAAGGCATTTTTTTTTGATTAATGATTGATGTGGGCAGGATAAATGCACAGTGGGTGAGGTGGTCCTGACATCCTCAGTGATGGTGTGATGGTGAATGACTTGAAAATTGTAAGATGAAATAAATGCTCTCCTCCCCAAGTTGCTTTTGGTTATGGTGTTTATCACATCAATAGAATTCCTAACTAAGATATCCCTAACTAAGGAGAAGGCATTGAAGCATTGAATACTAGAAACAGAGGAGACTAGGTAAGCAGCAGATAAAGGTGTGTAGGAAGGGGGCCAATGCTGTATCAAAGTTTTGTTGTTGGTCTTTTTTTTTTTTTTTTTTTTTTTTGTTTTGTTTTATATAGTGGGTTGAACCTAAGGCCTTGTGCAGTAGCACACACTTTACTACTAAGCTGTCTCCTGTCACTTCAAAAAAAGTATTTTGAGGTGGTTTCAATGAAATATACATCGCTGGACTCATCAGACAGAAGCATGAGCTGAGGTTGCAGCTTGGTGCATATGGTACATGGTTAGAATGCATGAAACCCTGGCTTCAATCTTGTGCATTGAAAACAAACAAACAAACACCCTCAAAATCAAATCAAAGACTAGGAACCCTTAGGAGAATGAGGGAAATATTACGCCATATCCAGGATTGAGGACAGTTGCCCTCAGTGGAGTAAAATTTATCTTTGAGACTCTTGAAAGTCACTTCAGAACTGACAGGCAAGTGCCTGATGATATAATATTCTTAGTGTTTTTCCTCTTTAGAATCTGTCCCTCCCAGCTGACCCCAAACGCTAAGTTGTCCTGCTTCAGCCCCACTGACTATGTTGTAATTACACGCATGTATTACTACATCTGGCATAGAAGACAATCTTATATTTATTTAATTAAAATTATTTATTTTTTGTGTATGGTAGTATCCCTATATGAAATAATACATATTTCAGGAGCCTGCAGAGGCCAAAGAAGGTGTTAAGTGCTCTGGAACTATAGTTACAAATGGTTGCAAGCTCCAATGTGGGTATTAGGAACTAAAACCAGGTCCTCTGCAAGAGCAGTACGAAACACTGAGTTACCTCTCTCCTAGTAGCTTTTAGAAGACAGAAATGCCTTATGACAAAACTCTTTATAACTTTCTGAGAGAAGGAAAAAAAAAAAAAACACTTTTTGCGTGAGATTTAGAGAAATGAGTGGTTAGAATATATGTAGATTACCCCCTTTCAAAAATCCATTGTCTTGAGTAGTTCCCTGCCAGGAGAGTAGTAAAATAGAACATTACTTTGTGTTGCTCTTGGGGAGAGAGAGTCTTATCCTGTGAACAGCAGTGTGTTTGATAGTAGTGTTAACATTGATGTTTAAATATGAAAGCATTGAAATGGTGAGGTCCCTTCCACGTAGTAGCAAGCCTCTGACAGTTTAAGGAGGTAGTTAAGGTCTGGCTGAGTCTAAGAGGAAAACTAAT